TATGTACAATGTTTTGGTCAACAATCGGAAGCTCGTGCGGTCACATAACAACCCGCTCAAGGACCGTGCTGCAGCTGATCGACATGCCAAAGCTGTCGCACAAGATACCAAGAAGCTTCCCATCAACATCCTGCTTGATGCGTGGGATCTGCCCAAGTCTCACTCGCAGATTTTGTCGCCAGGACCGTTGCCGATCGGACCTTTAGGTAATCTACCACCCTTGCCGTCCTCGACGTCTGACAGCGAGATGCACGTCCCGGTATTGTCACCGGTGATTCCGTCGTCCTTATCAGCGTCCTCATTGAGCTCTCGGCGTCTACGGCAGACTCAGTCACTTCGGACTTCGAGTCTGCCATAGAGCTAGAACCAGGCACCTCGCCGCTCTTCGCGCGTTCGAAGAGCGCCTCAGTGATTCCAGCCGTACCTCCTGTATTAGAGAGGAGATGTTGGGACTTTGGACCAACTCTATTTTTTTATCACTTTTCGGCTTGGCTCACAGATGGCAGTCAAGCTGCCATCAACGTCGATGCCGTGACAGTACCAACAAGAAACGTCATTGAAAAACAGAGAGTAAAAAAAGAGAAGAACCGCGAACACGTGTAATTTTGTAATCGTATTATTCTATCGTAAAAACAGTTTTAATTTGTTTAACTTTACGTGTCGCGTTTTTAATACTGTCATTCCGAAAACGGCCACCTCGGAAACTTGCGACCGTAGAAGTCACAATCCTCGGCAATAACACAAAAACCCCAATTGTCCTCCTGCAACCGCGCTCGACTGTTATGTTGATTATGTTTTCGCCTTCTTTTGCAGCGGGAGGAGAAACAGGGCCTAATTTTATATGAAACGCGAGCCAGCATGAAACGATAATTTTATCCTTAGCTAATTAAACTAACAACATACAAATCTTAATAAAATGACGTGCAAAATATACAAATTAAAATTATTCACGAAGGCAGAGTGGTGAGTATGATGCCGGCCGTGAAATGACAACAAAAACAAAACATAACAAACACGGCACACGCTCGTGTGAAACACGGCTAAATTACACTCGGCGGCAAAACTACACAAAATGGGATTAATTGTAACACGCCGGTTACACACTTGAATATGTTCGGGCTTATTGCGGGCACTTACGAAGAGCACCGGTCATGTTGACGAAAATTTCCATCAGTTCAACCGCTGGAAACAGATCGGGGTTGTTGTTTTGCGATGTTGGTTGTCTCTAGAATCCAGGAGGGGTGGAGATCTTTGTCCAGCAGAATCACCGGAAGCTTCTAGAGCGGAGTTGGGGGGCGATTTCCACCCGCGAATTCGCGTTTCTTTGCTGAGGACCACGAAAAGGCGGAAAATCCTCCTTCGTGAATGTCCTTCTTGTTGATTGTTGGTTGCCGCCTGCTTTTGGATGCGTTTAAAGTCCTCGCGTTTGGAGTTCTGTCTGTCGGAACCCTGATGAGCACCGCCACAGTTGGCACATTTTAATGTCACGGCTCCATCCGCAGGGCAGTCGGATGTGACGTGGTCTTGAGCGTGGCTTGATGTTACAGTTGCGGGTACCGTGCCGAAAATTGAAGCACCGCTGGCACTGCGTTACGTCACGATGGCCGCCACGGTATGGCTCCCAGCGTACGATGATGGAATAGATTGAGTGGATAGCATGCAGCGCAATAAGCGCCACCGTCCCTTTCTGGAAGTGCACCAGGAAAAGACATTCCAGGTACGTCTTCACGTTTTTGAATCTCCTCGTGATCAGAAAGACAGCGATTGGGAAAATTGTACCGGTCCTTGATTTCGTCTTCGATCGCCTTGGAATCCTTCAGGCAATTGACGGCCATTTCATACTCCGCTTTCGTACCTTGATGCCGATCCTGCTGAGTTTGTACTCGCCAATGAGCGTGTTGAGTGACACTTTCTTCACCACCAGTGGAGGAAGCTTCACTTTTGCCGCACTCTGGCCGGCAGAATTCTCGTTATCGACGGCGTCGCCGACTGGCGTTCGTCACGGTGACATCGTCGCGTCTGGTGTAGTATCCCCAACATCGGTGGGAAGAGCAGTGTACCTATTCGAGATAGGTACACTCGAGCTACCCTCACCACTATTCGTCTTGTTCTACACGTTCTCTCGGAGTCTGATCCGGGAGCGCTGCCTTCCCATCACACGATAAAACCGGCACTACTGACGACGCGAATAAACGCATGGTAAACCTGCGAACGTTTGGAACAAACTAAAAACTTATCGAACAACTCGACTGAGCGAGCAAAAACCGAACTGATCTGGTTGGCATAGAATGCTGTCTATTAATAATTGTGAAATTGCATGGTGCATGGAAAAACTCTCGTTACAAAAGCGTAAACAGCCTAAAAGAAGAAGATAGAATATCAGCACAATTGTACTCAACTCAAGGGGTTGGTCACTCCGCACAGTGTGCCAAAAACATGCTTGGGCACACCTGGGCACAGTCGGTTACTGGCAACACTGAACTTTTTCTGCGCCTGCGCACAGTGTTCATGTGACAAAATTTGTTATTGATGTTGTCACAATATAATCAGATTATTTTCAAAACACCACCGTGAATCTGCACCAAGTCTCGCCATGGATTCTCCTAAATCGAATGGTCAGCTCACATCCTGACGCCTGTCCGAAGAATTAGGTACATCATTTCGCGGCGGACTGCGTACAATCATTCCGACCACCCAGCATAAAGAAATCTGGGCAATCGCTCCGTTATCAAAATCGTTACACCGGTAACGGCACATTTCCTCCCAGACAAAGAACCAACTGACAGCGGTATCGTGACCGGACCGAGGTTTCCGACCACGGCTACACGAACTAGCGATGCAGCTCCCACGGCTGCGGCTGCTGGACATTCTTTTGACGAATTTTAGAGGAGACGGACCAGCAGCAGCCGTGGGAGCTGCAACGCTAATTCGTGTAGCCGTGGCTCTAGCAATACACTATTTAGATTATGTCTTGACGGACGTTAGACTGTGCCTTAAATTTAGCTTTGATATTGTTTCAATGGTTTCTCCCTTCAATAAGTGGATGTTATGAAGATCGATCTTCTTTTGCCGGCGCCGGTGGTGTAGTGGTAAGCGTGACTGCTTTCTAACACCCCAATGGGTCTGGGTTCAATCCCAGCCGAGATCGGTGGGATTTTTCTTAGGCATAAAAATCTCTGATCACGTCTTCCTTCGGAAGGGAAGTAAAGCCGTTGGTCCCGGCCCATGTGTGTTGTGAATGGGTGCGATATCCTACGCAGGTGTGGAAGCTGCCTTCCTGCACATTCGGTTGCCGTCAATGGATGGCAATCGATGTCCGTCGGTGATTGGCACTAGGTTGCGGAACAGAGACCGAAGATCGATCTTCCGCCGTGTAGTCTCGAATCGAATTGGAAAGGACATTACATGGGGGTGTATGTGTGGTCTTGGATGGTGCTGACAATGCCGATGATGATCGTTGATGGTGGGGTGAGAGCTGACGAACGAGTTACGTCGAAATGGGCGTCACACCACCGGACGCTGCTGCCACGACGGAGGTTATCGCGGCCGCTGCCGACATTGGGTTGATAGGTGCCATGTTTTCGATGTTCTCGTTGCTCCACGCACTGTTCATCGGCGACGCTCAGGAACTCGACCAATCCGAAGGAGGAACGTACCGATTTCAGTGGGAACATTCACACTTGCGACGGGTGGCAGTCTTTGGTGGTGAATGCAGTCAGAAGCAGATCCTCGGACATACAGGGTGGGGTATTGAAGAAATTTAAAATCTTGCTCGGGAAAGGAAGCGATTGTTCTTGGAGGCGCTGTAGTCCTTTAAGCTGATCGAATTGTCCGGAAGGGTGTAGGAGTTGGTGGACTCTGACAAGTAGTTCTGCATGGAAAATACAATCTGAATTTTGCTACCATCATTTCCGATTGAAATGTTGTCCAAGTGCTGGATGCTGCGTCCGACTGGTTCGACTGCGATGGTGTTTCCCATCTGGACCATGGCGGTACCGTTTTTGCTCTTCGGGTACTTTATCCGACATTTCCGTACAGGCAGAACAGATTGAGCAGCTTATCGGTGTTGGCTGTGTTGTTATCGAGTCCGTAGACCATCATCACTGCGCCCTGTTGCTGTGCCGGTTGAATGTCGGCTGGTCCATTTCGGGTAAGCAGTGCGTCCTTCATGAGTCCCACGTGTGTTCCGGCCGGTGTCCAGAAGGGTTGGTTTACGACCATGGTTGACTAAAGATTGGCGGTCGTTGTACGGGGTTGGCTTTCCGCCGAAGATGATAAGATCGTGTAGCAACGGGGCTCGTCCGTTGCAGGCATCCTTGGAGACGGCTGCTTCCAATGTGTAGTCCCAAATGGAGTCCGTGTCATTTTTGTAAACATTGAAAAACAAAACAAAAACAAGAGCTGTTAAAATACCGGGTTGCCAAAAAAGCATTATTCACAAGCAAACAAAAGTCAGTTCAATGACTTCTCAGCACTGTCAGCACAGCTGCGGCACACTGAGGCCACTGAGTGACCACCCCTTGACTCAACGAAAATTGACATCGCAGCATTATTACAAAACATTGGTATGGTCCGTTTTGTGGGATAGGGTGGGCTATTTGGTCCTGTTTTTCAATGAACTGCGGAGGTTAGACTAGCTCGCTCGACTTAGCCTCCGTAGTTGGGATGGTGGGTGTCTGTGTCGGACCTCGTAATCTACTCTTTGTTGAAAGAATTTTTCGGAGATCCCATATACGGAATTCCATTAAAAGGCCATTCGATTCTGCAATCAATCCAGCGGGTGTCAAGATTCTAAGCTTCTCCTGGACTGACTTTGTCTTTTGTCCTCTAGCAACTGCTGCCCTTCTACCATAAATATACCTTTGCATGATAACTGTCCTAGAAAACTGTCTGAACTCATACATATAATGCATCCTGTGCATGATCAACCACACTCTTATCAAAAAGACAATTTAAGATACTCACTTTGCACCACTTTTATCCTTCGCCCCCCCTTAAAGCAGCAGCGGACCCGAACGCGTGGCGCCTCGGCCGGATCGACGAAGCGGACCACGAGACGGCCGTCTAATATTAGGCCTGGCGGTGTGCCCCCTACTACCAAGTGGATCCACTCCGGAGCATCATTCCGCTGGACGTGGATTGGACGCGGCTGGAGGAGCAGAACGGCGGCAACTGAAAAGAGTCGATTTCGTTCCGACAGGGCGGACACACCGGAACCAGGTTTAGGTCTGAGAATAAAACAATAGGATATAGTTTGTAATGTTGCTGCAAAGTTGCGTTTATTTTTCACACTTAGATAGTAGAGTAAAGTTCGAAAAAGCTGTGCTTTTAAATTGAGAATAGGATGTAGTTTCGGAATATTGGTGCACCGACGAGCGCAACTTACTCACAGTGAATGTCAGCTTAGTTTCAGCGTTCTGTGTTGTACGGAGGTTTAATGATGTGCAAAACAAATAACTTGGTCCTACTTGAATGTGAAAGCCTTACTAAATAGTGATTTTGAGTTTAACATAAAATCTGCTCCGATCTATTTATTGCTTTTCGTCTGCACCTAGATGGGAAGATACACCTAGTAATTTAACAAATTTCAATCTAACCAGAAATGAAGCTGTTGTTTCTCAATCAAAGGACATTTAGAACGAAACAAAAACATGTAAATAACTGAATTGCAAAAAATCAATTAGAGCAACAAATTGAAACCAAAAAATAAAAACAGAACCCCTATAGGATATTGTTGAAGCAGTAAAACAAAAATAAAAACTCTTGATGTTTGAGGTTATTGTGTACAATACAAACACACAACAAAATAGCATTTTAGATTTAGCGAACGACGAACAGGATGAGGATGAGTTTTATTTTCCTAGAAAAGTTGAACCTGACTACAATGAAAGCGAAACTCTACATCATATATCGATATGGGATTGTGTTTGATGTGAACCATTTTAGTCGTCGAATGAACAAAAACACACACTCACACACCCACACACTCTTAGTACGTACTACTAAACGCAGTAAACTAAAGAATAATGTTAGGACAAAGTGTAGTGTGATAGTAAGGCAAACAATGAACTTGTTGATAACATTAGATAGGTGACCTAAAAAGAAAACTCTAAACCAACAGAAAAGAAACGATTAAATAAAATAACAAGATCACAACACAAAATTAACTAATAGGATAAAGTTAACTTCCATCAGATAAGAGAAAGAGAGAGTGTCTAACTGAGACGTGATCGATAGAGGAAGCAAGCCACGTCGAAAGTCAAACCGTTTGCGGCGTGCGAGAGATGGGCAAGGTTGATTTGATTGAGATTTGACTTTCCAGTTTTTTGGACCGTTGTTGCTGTGTAATGTATAGATAAGTTAATTTAAACTTTGATGTAGAGGAGATAACTTTAAACCGAGCAAGATGCGAAAACCGATAAAAATTTAAATTTAAAACAAACGTGACATAGATGTTAACAGTGGGAATGGAAGCGAAGTTTGGAAGTGAGAAGAAAGATTGAATAGATCGTTCTGATTTAGATTTAAAAAAAGAAGAAGAAGCAAAGAAATGAGATTGGAATAAAACAGAGTTATTTTAATGAATTTAATTCTAGGGTTGCAGTTTTTTTTCTATCCAGAAATTTGTCCCTCCCAATTGGCTTAATCATCCCTATTCTGTGTTTCGTTCAAAACGAAATTCTCATACACAAATTTTTATTTGTATGGGAATTTCGTTTCGAACGAAATACAGAATAGGGGTGAATATTTAGAAGAGAAAGAAAACGAGCAAATCCTTATAATTGCTTCGAAATATTGAACATTGTTGCTCTATGTTTCATCCTGTTCTTGTCATTTGCAATCAAACCAAGGGGCTAGTCACTCTGCTACATTGTGTTAAACACATCAAATACATTCTTCGACACCCCTGTAACGATGCGTAACATAGCGTTATTGGTAACACCATGAGATCCAAGATGGTGGCTTTTGGTTGAAGGATATAGGTAAACTGGAAAATACACTTTGACTATATCAGGCATAACATTTGATAACGGCACAAAAGCATTTCTCGATGAACATTTCAAATGGTCCTATCTACTTTGATCGATTCTCTTCATCGACTTTCTCTATTCATAACCACTGCTATGCAAACAGATTTCGCGCTAATTCTCCAGATTGCGTCTAGCCAAAATATCCCGAACTGGAACATTAGGTTGTCTAACTCGAGTCCGAAGGAAATCGTACATCTCAGATCTGACTCCACGATGCTCAGCACAAGACCAAATAATATGATCGGCGTCCTGGTAACCTTGTCCACATTCACAGAGATTGCTGTCCCCCAGCCGAACACGGAACAAGTGAGCGTTTAACGAGTAGGGGAAACGCTCCTATAGTTGCGGTACGTTAGAAGCGTTAGGTTCCTATAGTTGTGCATGGAGACTCAATACACAACTATAGGAACCTAACGCTTCTAATGTACCGCAACTATAGGAGCGTTTACCCTAGTGATTGGAAATGAGGCGAGACATCATACGAATGAAGTCTCGACCCACATCCAACCCCTTGAACCAAGGACTCTTCGACACCTTAGGGATGATCGAATATAGCCATCGTCCTAAACTCCCTTCACTCCACTTATTCTGCCAGTTGACGAGTGACTGTTGACGATAAATGAAGAAAAATTCGTCGTAGGCGATTTGTCGATCGTAAATATCGCCTTCCATAGCGCCCACCTTTGCAAGCGAGTCCGCCTTCTCATTGCCCGGAATCGAGCAATGAGATGGGACCCATGCAAAGGTGATGACAAAAGATCTTAAAGATAAAGCACTTAAAAGCTCTCGTATTTTCATGAGAAAATACGAGGAGTACTTTACCGGCCTCATAGAGCGAATAGCCTCGACAGAACTGAGACTATCCGTAAAAATAAAATAGTGATCTGGTGGAAGTGAGGCGAGCGTTTCTAGCGTATAGTATATTGCCGCAAGCTCAGCAACATCTACGGAACAAGGAGCTTGAAGCATTCGAGAGGCGCTATGAAATTCGTTAAAAATACCAAAACCAACGGACGACTCTATTAGTGATCCATCTGTGAAGAACGATCTTGCGGAATCAACTTGGCCAAACTTTGCAGTGTATAATGACGGAACAATCATGGAACGATGATGTTCTGGGATCCCACGAATCTCCCGCGTCATAGATAAATCAAAACTAACTGAATTGCCGAAGTCGGAGAAGCATACACGATGAGGATTATGCTGTGTTATGTACACGTAGTACAATGTCATAAAACGAGTTTGAGGGTTGAGCTCAAGAAGCTTCTCAAAGTTTTCGATTACCAGTGGGTTCATAATTTCACAACGGGTGAGGAGCCTGAGGGATAATTCCGAAACCGATCAGAGAGTGGCAACATGCCCGCTAACACTTCGAGACTCATCGTATGAGTCGAGTGCATGCATCCTAACGCGATACGAAGACAGCGATACTGGATCCGTTCCAGTTTGATGATGTGCGTTTTAGCCGCCGACTGGAAGCAAAAACTACCGTACTCTAAAACCGATAAAATCGTTGTCCGGTACAACGTCAGAAGATCTTGTGGATGGGCTCCCCACCACGTTCCGGTAATTGTTCGAAGAAAATTGATCCTTTGTTGGCATTTTCGTCTCAGATACTCAATGTGGGATCTCCAGGTGCATTTGGAATCGAACCAGACCCCAAGATATTTGAAAGACTGTAACCCTCGTCCAGGGTGACAATTATAAACCACCCTTTTGCCGTGTTTGCCATGAGCGTGTATCTTGTCTGTTATAATTTGTTTTTGTTTTGGTCACACGCTCGGCAACATACTCACCACTGCCTGATATGTAAATATTTTAATTTGTTATTTTCTTTGTAGATTTTATTCGGTTTTTTATGTTGTTAGTTTAGTTAGATTAGAAAAAAATATCGTTTATTAATGTATCGCGTCTCAAATAAAATTAGGTCCGGTTTCTCCTCCCGCTGCAAAAGAAGGCGAATAACATAAACAGCATAAAAAGTCGAGCGCGGTTGCAGGAGGACGATGGCGTTTTTTGTTTTGTGACGTTGTGAAAACAGGAGAACAGTTCGAGCCACGGTGGAGTCTACGCGGGTTTTTCGTTCGGAGACGTTTTTTTTCTTAGTCCCGAGAAAACGGACTTTACCTGGGAAAAGTTTGCCCAGCCGCGACGCGAGTGCCAGTACGCATCTTCCCAGTGCACCGCGAGTGGAAGCCGGCCCCGTGGCTGCGAAAATTAGTGTTGTTGAGTGCAACAGAGTGTCGGATCGCCATTGTGGGAAGCTAACCACAAAGGATCCGGTAGACACTCGCCGTCCTGACTGCGGGGGCTCAGCCAATAGAGCCAGTCTCGCCACCGCAGTTAATCGTCAAGCAGGACGAAGCAGGCGATACCAGAGGTGAGTTCGCCTGGGCAGAAACACTGCGGTGTCTGCCGGGGTTGCCTACGGCGAGTAGGCAATCCGGTGATTCGTCACCAACGTCGCTGGGGGGGGTTCCAACAGACGAGCCCAGCTCATCCCCCCGCTAAGTGTCAAGGACAGCTGCTAAGCAGCCGAATAAGCAAACCGCTCAGCACAGTCCGTGCTTTGTAGCAGCAGAACCGCCGCCATACCGTCGTCGAAGGGCCCCACCGAAGAGCAGCAGCAGCAACAGCGAGGAGGAGAGGGCAGAGATAAGTAGCGAATAGACGTCTAAAATTGCATTTCTTTTTGTTGTTTTGTCCCACCCAAATCCGAACGTCTTTGGGGGAAGTACCCTTGCTCGAGGCCGCCCCGCCGGGGTAAAATCGGGCCAGCTATAGGCTGGCAAGTAAGCCGCAACTTACAAGACATGGAATGAGTGATCGGCTTACCCAAAAGTTGAAGCTTCGGTTGTGCTGGGCTATGCTTCCTAGAAAAAACGACCAACTCAGTTTTCTCCGTGGAGAATTCGATACCTAGCTGGATAGCCCAAGTAGACAAATTGTCTAAGGTATCCTGTAAGGGTCCTTGCAGGTTGACCCCTGTGGGCCCTGTCATAGACACTACGCCATCATCTGCAAGTTGTCTCAACGTGCAGTTGTCACTTAGACAATTGTCAATTTCTCTGACATAGAAATTGTACCAAAGGGGGCTTAAACATGAGCCCTGGGGGAGACCCATGTAACTAAATCGAGAAGCTGTAGAGTTTCCATGAGAAAAGCTCATATGTTTCTCTGACAGCAAATTGTACAAAAAGTTATTGATTAATGGGGAAAGGCCACAAGCGTGGAGTTTGTCTGAAAGGACTTCAACCGATACTGAATCAAAAGCCCCCTTAATATCCAAGAACACAGAAGCCATTTGCTCTTTTTTAGCAAAAGCCAACTGAATTTCTGTGGAAAGCAACGCGAGACAGTCGTTCGTTCCCTTGCCCCTACGGAAACCAAATTGAGTATCTGAGAGTAGGTGGTTCGTCTCAACCCATTTGTCGAGGCGAAAAAGGATCATTTTCTCCAACAATTTTCGAATGCACGATAACATCGCGATGTGCGGGTTTTCCAGGCTTTTTAATGGCTATAACTCTCACTTGCCTCCAATCATCCGGAACAATATTGAGCTCCGGGAACTGACAAAACAAGTTCAACATGCGCCTCTTAGCGACGTCTGGGAGGTTCTTCAACAAGTTGAACTTGATTCTATCAGCCCCCGGAGCCGAATTGCCACACGAAAGGAGCGCGGGTGAGAGTTCCAGCATTGAAAAAGGCTGGCTGATCTCGTCTACCGAATTCGTCGTTTCGCGAGGAATCATCTGTGCCGGCACGGAATCAGGACATACTTTTCGCGCAAACTTGAGAATCCAACGATCTGAGTACTCCTCGCTCTCGTTGTTCGAAGACCGGTTACGCATCCTTCGCGCCGCGTTCCAAAGCGTATTCATCGACGTTTCGCGCGATAAACCGTCCACGAATTGCCGCCAGTATCCGCGTTTCTTGGCTTTGATGAGGTTCTTGAGTTCGCGTTCAAGAGAAGAGTACACTTCGAAATTCACGGGTGTTCCACGTTTCCGGAAAAGCTTAAACGCGTCTGACTTTTTACGATAAACCTCAGTGCATTGCTGGTCCCACCAAGGGGAAGGAGGTTTCCTGCGGAAAGACGTTCCAGGAACCGGCCGAGTTTGAGCTTGAAGCGCGCTGTTCAAGATCAGATTGGAGAGGAAGTTATATTCCTCCAACGGTGGAAGCCCTTCTACCGACGACACGGCTTCCTCTATCGCGGTCTTGAACGTTGTCCAATCGATATTACGGGTGAGGTCGTACGCGACGTTAACGGATTCCGACGGATTGAACCCACTGGCAATCGAAATTTTGATCGGCAAGTGATCACTACCGTGGGGATCCTGGATCACATTCCACGTGCAATCCAACGATAATGAGTTAGAGCAAAGTGTGAGGTCTAATTTACTTCCATTCGACGATGGTCCAGCCAAACGTGTTACTTCTCCATTGTTAAGAATTGTCATATTGAAGTTATCACAGAGGTCATATATCATAGTAGAACGGTTGTCATCATACAGTTCCCCCCAGCCTGTACCGTGGGAATTGAAATCTCCCATGATCAATCGTGGAGCAGGAAGTACCGAACATATATCTGAAAGTTGTTTTCGATTAACAACGGCTCTAGGAGGAATATAAACAGAAGCAATACAAAGGCTCTTACCTTTAATAATAGCCTGACATGCGACAACTTCAAAACCTGGAAATTGTGGAAGATTCACTCTATAGAAGGAATGGCACTTTTTGATCCCCAAAAGTACCCCTCCTCCACGCGAATCCTCACGATCCAGTCGATGTTAAAATCATAAAAAGGGAGATCAATTTCTGAAGAGAGCCAAGTTTCACAAAGAGCAAATGCATCACAATCATTATTGTGAACTAAAAACTTAAAAGAATCTAATTTAGGAATGAGACTTCGACAATTCCACTGTAGAACAGTGATCAAATCCCCGACCTCGTTTGGAAAATTACCCATCGAAGGAAATGATTGCTGCAAGGAGGGGCCACTTCAATGTCAATTGCTTCAAGAGGGTCTTCACAGTAGGAAGCATTGCCAGAACAATACTTTTGAGAGGATCAGAAATATTCAGTTACTTGAGGATATCGTCCACAATTTTATCAAATGAGAACAACCCAGATGAAGAAGGGGCTTCTGTTCTTAAAAATGGAGCATCAGGGATTTTGGATGTCCCCGGGAGTGATGGAAAATCCTGGGTATAGTCAGTTCTTCTGAATCCAGGAGGAGTAGAAGTCTCCTTTTTTCCACCACTCCTTGATTTGTGCAAGCTGGTTTGAGGTTCCTGATCAGCGACTATCCGTGAACGGATGCGTCTTCGTTTCCGTGAAGAAACTTCCAGAAAACTGAAAGGAATTCCCTCCTCAGCCAAGTCAGAGTCAGACTCGTCATCTGACAAAAGAGCGAAGCGATTTCCGTCGTTGGTCGATGGCTTGGCTGTCTTAAGCATTTCTGCAAAAGACCGCCTGGAACGTTCCTTAAGAGAGCGTTCTAGTTTCACCTCGCGTTGTTTGTACGCCGGGCACGACGAGAGACCATGAGGCGGAGATCCTTTGCAGTACACGCATTTTAGTACAGTAGCTGCACAGGCGCCATCCTCATGCTTCTCCCCGCATTTGGAACAGCGTGCCTTGCTGCCACAGTGGGAGGTCGTATGTCCCAACTGCTTACAGTTTTGGCAGTTCATGACCCGGGGAACGAACAAACGCACAGGTAGTCGAAGTTTTCCCAGCTTGATGTAGTGAGGAAGGACTGAACCAGAAAAGGTTACACGAAACGAGTCTGTGGGGGTAAAACTCTTTTTACCCTCGCTGACAGATACTGAGCCCAGGTTTTGGACATCCAGTATCTTCACCGGGGGAAGCAAGGGGTTCTTGAAACGGCCAATCGCCTGCTTCTCCAAGATCTCGGGGGTCAGACTCACTTCGGTAACCACACCTTCAATCTCCACATCACGAGCTGGGATGTAAACTCTATACTCGAGCGTAAAGAGCTGGGAGACAGCAATCTCATGGTTAAGGTTAGAGACGGAAACACGAAGTTTATTGTGCCTAACCTTCGTGATTTCGGTCACGGCCGAGAATCGCTTCGTCAAATAATTTGAAATTTGTACCACATTCAAAGGTTTGTTTTTGGGCTAAAAGTAGACTTGGAAGGTTTTGTCAGCCTGCCCATTAACAGACTGAGATGACAAACCAGGGATCACATCATCAGTATTTTTAGATGATTGGTCATCCATGTCGTCTTCCGTTTATCTAGATTTGTAAACAAACTTTCTAAGGCCCTTTACACGCGATCCAAAGTACGCCATACATGTAAACCACACAAACACAAGCAATAAAGATCATTTAAAGTTTAAAGTCAAAGGAGAACATAACGCCAGAAGAGACGTGGTCTGGAAAGAAGCCGCACCTCAATTCTTTCCAGACCACGTCTCTCCTGGCGTTATGTTCTCCTTTGACTTTAAACTTTAAACGATCTTTATTGCTTGTGTTCGGATCAAAGAAAAACAAAACCGTTTTTTTTGTAAATCAACCGTAAATAAAGTTGATCAAACTGCAAGAATTCGTTTAATATAGTGTTTGTGGTTTTAGTTGAAGTACTCACAATTTTAGTTATTGTTCCTTCTGCAAACAACCTTTCTTCTACCTAGACCGCTCTGAAATGTTCTTTCCGCCTATTACAAAATTCAGTGTTTTAATTTAATTAATTTGTTACAGTGTTTATCTCGTTTTACCTATCTGTGAGTCGTCTGCTTGCCGTTCCGTGTTTTGTAACCTCCACTGACCTAAATTTGTCCACAAACTTTCTACAAAATGCCCAAAGCACAGAATACTAAAAAAACTCACTTTTAAGCACTTTCTAATCGATACTGTATTGTTTGTGATTTTCTACCTTCCGTTCTTTGACAGATTATCTTTTATTCATCTATCTATCCTCCTCTCTTCAATCCGTCACTTCATCTGTCATACTACTTACTACCTCATCGTCCAAATTCACTGCAGCGATGGAGGAGGGCAACGGCCAGTGTTGCCAGAACATTCCCCGGCCCGTAACTCTGTCCGGGAAGCCACATCCGGCTCAGGGTTACCCTCTGCTATCTCCATCACGGCCAGTTTCGCTGTCGCTCGTTTGTACCTTCCGGCATTGGTACGCACCCATGCTTGACGGACCCTGCCGTCGCCGGATACGATGATCTCTTCCACCATTCCGCGGATCCAGCACTTCCGGTTGGCACCCTCCACGACGTAAACTAAATCTCCTGCTCGCAACGGTCTTGCCTCACCGAACCACTTCGTTCTTTGGTTCAACGACGGCACATACTCCTTAATCCACCGCTCCCACATCACGCTGGCCAACTGCTGCGAACGCTGAAACGCATCCCGAAGGGCCACTGCCGGATGGGGAGGTGGACGGATACTACCAGGCTGGTTCGCTGACGCTCCCCGCAAGAAATGATTCGGGGTGAGCGCTTCTGCTTCGTCGGACTGCTGCGACACGTAGGTGAGCGGACGGGAGTTGATAATGTCCTCCGCTTCAACGATGGCTGTCTGCAGTATCTCGTCCGTTAGTCGCCTTCCATCATCAAGCGCTGTCAGCGCTTCCTTCACTGAGCGGACTAAGCGCTCCCAGACGCCTCCCATGTGAGGTGCGGCGGGGGGATTGAACGTCCACTTCGTTCTCGCGTTCGTTAGCTGGTCTGCACAGTCATCTCTAATGCCCTGTACAGCCTCCACCACTTCCTTACTAGCTCCACGTAGGTTTGTCCCGTTGTCCGAGAAGAATTCGATCGGCCAGCCCCGGCGACCAATAAACCGATATATCGCCATCAAACACGACTGGGTGGTCAGCCCATGTGCCACTTCCAAATGAACCGCACGTGTTACCATACAGGTAAACAGCGCAATCCACCTCTTCTCTGATCTACGTCCTACGGTCACATCGAACGGTCCCATATAATCGACCCCGACGTAGCTGAAAGCACGAAGATTCGGTGTGACCCGCTGTACTGGCAGCGGAGCCATCCTAGGAACTTCAGGACGACAACGATTCACCTTGCACCATACGCAGGACGCTGATACCTTCCTGACTACTGCATCTATGTGCGGGATGTACATACATCTGCCGCAATTCGTTCTTCACTGCTTGACGGTACCCGTGGGCACTCTTCTCATGGTAGTGCTGAACTATCAGCCTCGTGATCCGATGGTCATCCGGCAGAATCACCGGAAATCGCAGATCGAATGGCAGAAATTCCGCTCGCTCCACTCTACCCTCCATCCGGATCAGTCCATTCTCGTCGATCAGCGGAGTCAGCTTGTATAGCGGACTAGACTTTTCGATAGTCATCCACTGGCTCACCGGACGATCCTTGTTTCTCGTTAACACTTTCAGTTCGTCGATGAAGCTCTCCGACTGCGCCACTTTCAGCAGACACTGCTCCGCTTTCTCGTACTCCTTTTGCTGCAACGGAACTCTGACCGATGCAATGGTTCTCGACTTCCGTGCTTTATTTTGTCCGCTTGTCGCTCTTAGCGTCTCAATCGGCAGCTTTTCAATCCTTCGCTTACAGTTCGACACGAAACGGAACACGCACGCCATCGTTCGGACCAACACTGTCCACTTCGAGAAACGGTTTACGTCCACAAAAACCGCAGGCACCTTCACGTCATGTAACAGGAGGTGAATCCGGAGCTCCTCCATCGTGTTCGCTGGTGGCATTTCCTTTTCTGGCCACTCCTGCTCACTCTTGTACAAAAACGCTGGTCCTCGCGCCCATGTGCTGTCAGTATGCATTTCGGGTTCCTTGCCCCACTTCGTTAGTTGGTCTGCCACGTTTAGTCTTGACGGCACCCAACGCCAGTCCGTCAACTTCGTTAGGCTGAGTATCTCGCCGATCCGAAACCCGACGAACTGTTTATACCTTCGCTGGTCAGATCGAATCCATGAGAGCACTACGTTTGCGTCGATCCAATACACCACCCGGTCAATTGTAAAGCTATGACTCTCGAACACCATTCGTGATAGACGTGCTCCTAAAACGGCCGCTAGAAGCTCCAGTCGCGGTATTGAGATCTGTTTTAACGGTGCCACTTTGGCACGACTCATGACCAGCGCACACTGCACTTTACCTCGTACAGTTGTCCGAAAATACGCCACGCTTCCGTACGCCGCCTCGCCTGCATCAGCGAATACATGCAGCTGTATGTCCGTAACTTCATCTGATCTGGCATTTCCGAAATAACTCCGCGGTAGCTGGAACGATCCGATGTTCTTCATCATTTGTATCCATCGCCGCCATTTTTCGAAGGAAATCTGATTGATTTTCGTATCCCAATCACAGCCGGTCCGTCAGAGATCTTGGATCAGCATTTTTCCAAGTATAGTAACCGGAGTGAGGAATCCCACTGGGTCGAATTGCGCCATCACGTAACTGAGGATAATCCGCTTCGTAGGATACTCTTCGCCACCGATAACCATAAAGGATTCCGCTTTCGACATAGTTGCGAAACAGAATACGTCTTCCATCGGCTTCCAAACTATGCCCAGCACATGCTCATACTCGGCGTCTTTATCCCGGGAAAAATGAACTGCTCCATTTGCACTGCGATCTTCGAGTTCCTCTAGGAATGCCTCCGAGTTAGACACCCAGTTTCGTATATGGAATCCACCCTGCGAGTGGATGTACTTCACCTCCTTGGCCCTTCGTATCGCTTCTTCGACGGTATCTACGCTGTCATAGTAATCGTCCACATAATGTTTCTTAATGATCGCTGCCGCTGCTTCTGGATACTGCTCTGCGAACTGTCCCGCGTTCAGATTTTTTACATATTGGGCGGAGCAAGGCGAACACGTGGCGCCGAACGTTGCCACGTCCATCACGTATCCTTGAGGTGCTCCACTTTCATCCGTCCCGAACAGAAATCGTAGTGCTTGCTTGTCTTCACACCGAATATTCATCTGGTGGTACATTTCCTGAATGTCGCCTCCGAATGCAATTCGACCTTCCCGGAAACAGCAAACAACTTTCGGAAGGGGAACCAACATGTCCGGACCTTTCACCAATTCCGAGTTCAACGACACTCCTCCAACTGATGCAGCCGCATCCCACACCATGCGCACTTTACCAGGTTTCTTCGGATTTAGCACCACATTCAACGGAAGATACCACACCACCGAGCTTGGAGTATCTGCTAGTTCTTCTGCAGTTATCTTGTGTGCATGGCCCTTGGTCTGATAGTCCTCAATCTGCTGACATACCTTCTGTTTCAACGCAGGATCTTTCCCAAGCTTTCGCTCAAGCGCTCGCATCCTTCGAACGGCCATCGGGTAGCTGTCCGGAAATCGCCGTTCATCTTCACGCCACAATAGGCCCGTTTCGAAACGATTACCTACCCTTTTTGTCGTCGCTTGAAGGATCTCGCGAGCCCTTTTCTCCTCAATTGGTTCTGGGGGTGCGTATGATGCTGCTGCAGTTTCATCCAGCACGTACTGATTTCGGATCATGTCATGCAGTTCCTGGTTACTCACTGGTGTGACACAATGCAGATTCAGGTAAGTATGGACACGCGGCTTCCGTTTCTCCGATCCGTAAATCGTCCATCCGATTTTCGACCGCACAGCGATTGGTTCGTTAGGTTCCCCGACCCGTGACTCCAACGGCGCGAACAGATGGAGATTGTCCAATCCGATTAGAATCGTTGGAAGTCCAGACGGAAAATCTCTCACCGGCACTCCAACAAGATGCGGATAACGGTTCACCACCTCAGCGTATCGTACATTCTGTTGTGGCAACTGCAACTCGGACACCGTTCGTGTGTTGAACAACGAAAACTTCTCCTTGGAGCCCTTCGCCGACATCATCATCTCTACACTACGCGATTCGTTCTCAAAACGGTTGATGTTTCCGGTCCACGTGACTATCAGTGGTTCAAGCGTTCCTTCTGCCTTCAGCCGTTTGGCCACCCCATCGTCCACCAACGTAGCAGACGACCCTTCGTCCAGAAATGCAACAGTGTCGTACTGTCGCTTACCGACATATAGCGTCACCGACATCATCCGGAAAATCACCGTGCAGTCTGATTTGGCTTTCTGCAATTGAACAGATTCTTCCACCCGATGCAATAGAGGATGGTGATTGCCTTGGCAGTTCCGCGCCATACACCGGATTTTCAAAAAACAACGATTTCCACCGTGCTTGTTAAGACAGATTCCACACAGTTTCTGCTTGTCCACTTCCCTTAGTCGTTGCGCAATGTTCATCTGCTTGAACTCTTCGCAGCTCTTGATCATGTGATCCGTCCGTTTACAAATCCAGCAAGGACGGCTGACCACCTCTCTGCGTAGTTCTTCGCTCTGCTTCTGCTCAGAGTCGTGCACATGCACAAACTCCTTCTTTCTAGGATTCTCTCGCCCATGCGACGCTCGCTCGTTCACCGACAGCGTAGAAAACTCCGTCACCTCGGACACGTCGGATACTATTTCAGTCATGAAATCCGTGAACATCCTCAGCGGACTATCTTCCTTTCCTTGCTTGTACCGCACCCAATCCAGTTTGTAACTCGGTGGTAACTTGTCAACCAACTTCTGTACCAGCATCGGGTTATTAAGATGATCGTTGAGTCGCGCAGCCTCAAGATGGTCGCACAACTGCTTCACCGTAATCCCAAATTTAACGAACATCTCCAGTCGATCAGCTCTCGGCGCTGGAGCGTTCCTCACTTTCGTCAGCAGCGACTTCAGCAGCTTCTCCGGCCTTCCGAATAGATTCCGTAGGTCACAAATCACGTTCGGAACGGAATTCGGCAGAACGAGCCGACTCCTCACTGCTTCGAGCGCGTCACCTTGCAAACAGTCCTGCAGTCGCTTCAAGTTCTCCAGGTTTGAGAACCCACATGCTTCCGTCGTATATTCGAAGCTGCTAATAAACAGCGGCCAAACTTCCGGTTCTCCACGAAATTTTGGAAGGTGCGAAATCGCTTTTCTAGCGGCCAGCTGATCCCTCGAGATTCGACCGCCGGTTCGCCCCGACCCGTCACCAGCTCCGTTACCACGCACACTGCCAGGTCGCTTGCTGCTCGCACGATCTTCCGACGAGTCGCTGCTTCCACAATCTTCTGAATAGTCGCTGCTCGCACGGTCTTCCGACGAGTCGCGGATTTGGCCCTCATCACTTGATTCGGCCAGGGCAACGGCCAGTGTTGCCAGAACAGCTTGTGTTTGTGTGGTTTACATGTGTGGTAGCGGAGTGAATCTGCTAGCCCCTCGTTATGGTAACTGTGGATGGTAGCGACAGGAGGTAAGGAAGACAGAGAGTGAATGGCTATCAAAGAGAGAGTACACGTCGGTCTGAAGATTATTAATAAAGCTGAAGTTTGATAAGTCTAATTATCGTAATTTATTCTAATACGGGTCCGAAGTACTACAACATGTATGAATTTTCAAGTGACACAGATGCGTCTTTTCAACTTTAGTACAGGTTATGTTCTCCAATGACCGCGTTGGACATCGATTGACCCGATAGGCAGCTGTCGAAACTGCTTCCGCCCAAAACTGCTTACCAAGCTTTGCATCGTTGAGCATGCACCGTGCTTTCTCCACCAACGTGCGGTTCATGCGTTCTGCCGACATGACACTTAATTTTGACTTATGCCCGACAATCGTAAACGGCCGGCATCTCAAGATTTTTCGAACTCAAGTGATGGCACACATTCCGAAAGTGAAGCGGAAGAAGTTCGATGCCAAGGCCAGAAAAGCGATCTTCGTCGGCTATTGTGAGAACACCAAAGGCTACCGTTTGTACGATCCTGGCAGCGGTGAGTTTCAAATAAGTCGAGATGTTGTAGTCCTAGCAGAAGGTGAATCAAGTCCAAGCCTAACGAGTGATCAAAATGGCAGTGGAGTTCATGGAGCTGAATTTCCAACAGTTGTTGGTACTAATCAGCGCTGCTGATGGAAACAATGAAGAGCAGCAATACGAAGTCGTTGTAGTTTCTTCTGATGGTGAAGATGAAGACATCGAGGAGGTTTCGGATGCAGCTGAAAACGCGCTCCTAAGACCAGCTGATTCGCATCAAGGGTTAAGGCGCAGCGATTGGGAGTGCAGTTATACAGGCAAGTACAATGATTATATTAGCCTTGGAGCATATTCTGGAGATACCATTTCCCCCCAGTTACCTCCTGATTTAACGAACGGTGAATGTGCGATGGACGATCCAACGACTTACGAAGAAGTTCTGCAACGGCCTGACAGAGATTATTGGGTTCAAGCGATGAACGATGAGCTGAGGTCACTGAGCGAGAACAGCACGTGGGTGCTTGCGGATCTGCCAGAGGGGCGGAAAGCGATTCGGAACAAATGGGTGTTCAAAGCGAAGCGTGGACCTGATGGAACCATTCAGCGGTACAAAGCTCGTCTCGTCGTGAAAGGATGCTCGCAGAGGCCAGGACTAGATTACGACGAGGTGTTCTCTCCCGTAGTACGGTATGCGACGATTCTTCACCTCATGGCGTTGGCGGTGAAATATGATCTAGACATCGATCAGATGGACGCAGTTACAGCTTTTTGCAAGGAGAGCTGAACGCTGAGGAGATCTACATGCTGCAGCCGCAGGGGATAGACCATCGGAATGGAAAGGTATGCCGCTTGAAGAAAGCTCTTTACGGCTGCGCAGCTAGATGGCGTGCTTCAGAAGTTCGGACTGATTCGTTCCTCAGTAGATTGTTGCCTGTACTGGATGATGTGTGGAGACAAGCTGATGTTTGTCACTATTTACGTAGACGATGTTCTGATCTTCACCAACTATCAGAATCTGAAGCGAAAGGTGAAGACGTATTTGAGCGAACGATTCAAGATGAAAGATCTCGGAGAAGCCAAGTACTGTTTGGGCATCCGGATTACGAGGAATCAAGCAGAAGGAAAGCTCTGGCTCAGCGTTTTGGAATGACCGAATCGTATCCTGTAGCAACGACAGCTGATCCCAGTTTAAGACTGGACAAATCCATGGGACCGAGAAACCAGAACGAAGCCGAAGAGATGAAGAAGGAAGAAAGTTCCTTTCAAATAAGCTGTTGGATGTCTGTCTTTCGTAGCCCAGATGACTCGTCCGGACATCGCTTTTGCGGTGAATGCAGCTAGTCAGTTCAGCGCCAATCCTGGACGTCAGCATTGGGGGGCCGTCAAGAAGATAATTCGGTACTTGAAAGAAACATCGACGGAGAAGTTGGAGTATTCTATTTATCATCTGAACTAGTCGGATTTAGCGATGCCGATTGGGGAGGAGATCCAGATAACCGAAGGTCAATGACTGGTTACGAGTTCACGCTACAAGGTGGAGCCATATCGTGGAACTTGAAAAAGCAGCCCACTCAACCGTTGCTATTTCATCCTGTGAAGCAGAGTATATGGCCCTGTCTCGAACAATTCAGGAATCAATGTGGTGGAACAACTTGCGGTCGCAGATATTCGAGCAGCAGCCAGTAATTATCAATTGTGACAACCTTTCTGCAATCTGCATCACGAATAATGGCTCATACAACCCTCGCACGAAGCATGTTAGCATTCGTTACGTCTTTGTGCACGATAGCCTACAACAATCCCCCCTATTCTGCGAGTCACGTGACTCTCTCTCACCGGTGAGGTGACAATAGTCACCTCGTGTGAGGTGACTCTCCATTTGATTTACATGGAGTGAGTGGAGAGCCTCACACGAGGTGACAATTGTCACCTCACCGGTGACAGAGAGTCACGTGACTCGCAGAATAAGGGGGAATGAGCAACGCAGCTGATGTACATTCCGTCCATGGAGCAACCAGCTTATGGTTTCACAAAGCCATTAGCCGTTCAGAAACAACAACAGTTTTGCAAACTATTAGGTGTCTCGGATTACGGAGGAATATTGAATAACGCAGTAGTCTGTGATAATCTGTCACTGTTGTAAAGAGAAAATATAAAATAAAATTCATTCCACTGTATAATGTTGATATAACGTTAACCAATAAATACGTGTTTCAATCGTACTCTACAATTCAAACTATTGCTCTTCTATCATTGTACGTGATACAAAAACACCCATTCAAATATACTTTCATTTGTTTGAGATAATCATAGGTCAAAAATTATTCAATGTACAGTTTGAAGAGATAGGTACGTGATTGTTACTTCGGAAATTTTAACTGCCTAACATGATGGTGCTTATTTTCTAAAGGTGGGGCATGGCAAAGGTTAGGTCAAGGGTTAGGTACTCTATTCTGAAATCTGTGAAAGGGAATCTAGTATCATGTAGAACAAAACGTTCAATGTAACACTCATTGATTATGTCATTAAGAAAAATCGTCCAATGCAACATGTCCGATGTACGACTTGGCTAGTCAAAACGTCCTATGTGTTTTTTTTTCTTTCTATATTGTAGCATGACATTCAAAGTAAAATTGAGATTTTACAGTTTCTACAGAATTTTCAACGTTATTATTCACTGACCAGAGTAAAAATAGTATTGCAAAATATATTGTTTCTCAACAGTTAAAATAATAATCTGTCGAACTTCAACTTCGATTTTTCTCAAAATGGCGGATATGTTACATTGGTCTATTTGAAAAGTGACGCGAGAAATATGGCACGACAAATTAACATAGGAATCTGCCAGATTTTTCGCAAACACAAACTAAAAACTCTTTCTACGGCGACTCACAGTGATCTTGGTTAAAGAAACGTTTCAGGGAAAAGTTCTTCAAAACCATCAGTCCTGAAACAAGCAAATATCAATTAAAATCAAGTTTATTACTTAAATTTACCTCATAAGCGTTCAAATAAAATACTATTGTGTCATCAAGCTCCAGCTAGCCATGTAGACTATGGCCACGTTATCTTCTGTCTCTTGCTAGGCGCTGAGCTCATCGTGCTTCCACTACAGTTACTCTTACTGGGACTAATTTCGAGCGCTCGCTTAATTATGACCGGAGTGGGACTGCTTGCATTTGCACTACCGATGCTGCTGCTGCTAATGCTACTAATAAGTTTAATACGTTTCATCCCATGACTAACGTTATCGACCGGACTTTCCGAGTATACGATCCGGTTTCGTACGTTGGAGCCCGATTTCCGACTGGTGACGGATTTCGGGGAATCATCTGTCATCTCCACATCTTGCTGCAGGTGGGAGGAATTTTGTTCGGTTGTACTGGAGGATGACCCCCTCCGGGGCTGAGGAAGAAGGTATTTCATGTACAGGTTTATCAGTTCATCCCGGGTCGATTCCTCCAAGCGGGGAATCATAATGTGCCGCTGAAATTGAGAGCAGTCTTTGAGGAAACTGAATTGAACTATAGCAACGGTGAAAATAAATACGGATCGAATAAACCGTGATTTCACAAGTCTGACTGTTGTTTGTTATGATACAAGAAACAGCTTTACACAGCAAAAAAAAGTGTGTTCTGATCAGACGAAATTCAAGCCGATGTTATCAAACTTTGATGTATACTGCAAAAAAAAAATACTAAATTACATCGGTGTTCGCAAAAACTGTGTAAATCGTACAACGTAATATTACACAACTGACGGAAAGACCTGGGTGCAATAGTTTCCATGTAATATGCAACAACTTTTTTGCTGTGTTAAAAGCTATAACATTACCGATACTTTTACAAATCTTATTTATGCAAAAATCAACTCACCTGCCGAAAAATATCCAACAGCTGCTGTTTACTTAGTATATGGGGATGTAATATGTCCATTTTCACGATATAAAACTAGGCAATGTTTGCAAAAATTCAAAATAATTTCAAAGCCGCTTTAATTTCACTTTTGTTTTGTTTACTTCTAAACATTCTGATGCTTGGAACCTTACAAGCGTTTAGTCTAAGTTCACGTCGTCGAGCTCAACCGGCTTCTACAATACCGTCCGTCAGTAGAATCACACAGCGCACGCTCATCGAAAGTAGCTCAGAGACAATGTCATGTTGACTCACTCTCTTTTTTTCTCCATACAAATTATACTCAGTTTCGTAAAAAGCGACGTAACTATCTCATAGCACTGAAGCTGTGTTCCATTGAAGCATTACTGAAGCATTACTAAGGAGAATTTTAACTTGAATTTGACACTTCGAAAATAAACAATAATGTTGGAAAATATCTCAGTTGTCCAATTTTTCGAAAAGGTTTTTGTAAAATTTGATTCCTTTTCTGCTAGAAATATGTCTGGTAGAATAGCCGGTTTATTTGAAAATTTGTCATCTGTTTAATTTAAGTGAAGATTCAGAAAATGGAAAACAGCCTGAGTAACTCTACTTTTAACAAAACTGAGTAAAATTCCTTACGTAACTCAAAATTGAATAAACCATTTGTAATGTAACTACGGCAAAAAATTAAGAAAAGTAAGTTCAATTCACTCGGAAAAATTGAGAATATCTGCCTTACTAAATTTGTTATATTTATTTAGCTTATTTAGTGTTAGGAGTATCATCTAAACCATATGTGGAATAGTTATTTAATTTCGTTTATCGTTCGTTTATGGTATTTTTTATTAGGGTATCCCTAATAAACTAATACCATAAACGAACAATAACCCATTCAGTCGAACTTTTCATCCCAAACACGTCGTTAAGCAAATTTCGAACAATAGTTAAGTTGAAGTTCCATGTCTGTTTGTCGGTCGCTAATCTCACATTAGGGTAGAAAAAACGCCAACTTTGGGTAGTTTAAGTTTTTTGTGTGTACAAACGTCACAACGTACATTCGCTTTGGTGCTGAACGTGCCGAGGAAAACAAAAATCGCGAGTTTTACAGATTTTTGTGAAGCAAGCTCTTTTCCATCGTTCACTATTTAAAATAAACTGATTTAGTCAGTCCGATATTTCCTTAGGCTAATCCTTAGATCTAGTTGATTAGGATGTTTAAAAAGTGAGTTGTCATTCAAAACAACTCCGGTGATTTCGCTTTAACAATTCCGATTTTAATGCACAGATTTGACGAAAAGGAGAGCATCTCCGGTGTTCAGCAGCTGAAATCGTCGGTCCAGAAGGGCATCCGGAACAAGCTTATCGAGCAATATCCGCACGTCGAAGGCCACATCGACCTTGTGCTGCCCAAGAAGGACCAGTTTCGCATTGTGAAATGGTAAGTTCGACACTAAGTCTTCCTCCCGCATTTCAAGCTCTCACCAGACAAACTGCCCACCCACTCCATTTCAGCCATGACCACATTGAAATCCTGGTGAACAGCGTCGGCGAGCAGTTGTTTTTCCGGCACCGGGAGGGTTCCTGGATGCCCACGTTGCGACTGTACCACAAGTATCCACTCTTCCTGCCGATGGAGCAGGTGGACAAGGGTGCCATTCGGTTTGTGCTGAGCGGAGCCAACATCATGTGCCCTGGGTTGACCTCGCCCGGTGCCTGCATGACCAAGGTCGACAAGGGTACGGTGGTGGCCATTATGGCCGAGGGGAAGAACCATGCACTGGCTATCGGTCAGACGACGCTGTCCACGGATGATATGTGAGAAAAAATCTAATCAGTTTATGATTAAAACATGCGGTAATTTCCGAATCTTCTTTCAGAGCTAAGGTCAACAAGGGGGTTGGCGTGGAGAACTGCCACTATCTAAATGACGGTCTCTGGCAGATGAAACCGGTCAAGTAAATGCCCACACTAGTCCACTCAGGGAGCTGTGTTCTCTTACTAAGCAAAAGAAAATGGAAACTTTCAAAAAGTTCAATTCTACCAACTTACTAAATGGTCTGTCTATCTATAAAATTTAATAAAGCTTCGATGTGAATATCCAACACTCAGATCGCATCTTTGGTTCTGTATTAGTTCGTATTTAATTAGAAGGTACATTTATTCGTCGTCATTGTCATTTTACGTAGAATCCTCGCTTAATGAAGAATGAAAATTACATCGGTTAATAGCTATCTAAAGTAATGCGTTGAAATAGATTTGAACTTTTGATAAATGTACCAAAGTAAATTTGATATTCTTGGTTTAGCGAACTGCGTATGTTTTCCCCAGTGTACCTTAGCTGGTTTCCACCGGTTGGTACAACGGTACTGTTACATCTATGGTTATACCGTAAGTGCTCGAAGAGTGGTACGAATTTTTGGAAGGCCTTATAACAACATCGGAACACTTCTAATGCTATTGGATCCAGTCCAAATCAACGCCTTTTTTCAAGGGATACAAGAAGCGAAATTTCTCGAAACACAAATAAGCTGCAACCAGTGAAAAATTGCGGGTTTGCGACAATGTAATTGTGCACCGTAGACCAGATATGATGCCAGATTGGGAGAAGGCTACTCTTCTTAGGAAGTTACCACACAAATCGTGTGAAGTGGAAACACAAGATGCCGGAATATATCGTAGAAGTACTATGCATGTAAAACCACTAGCGTGCACAGGAATCTTGTTAACCAGGGGCAATTTTTTTCCTATGGTGCATTTAATCTGGGGATGGGGAGTACTTCAAAGTGCGTGGTGGATAGTGCTGTCCATCCACCACTGTTTCTGTACTGTTCAATTTAGCTAATTTTATTACTTTTTTGCTCCGGTTGTGGTTTATCTTCTGCAATGCAAACTGCTTTCAGACACCAATGGAATTGGCATTTTAATCCCATCGACAATGTCGATGATGGTCGGTTCGTCAAATGGTTGCAATAATAACCGAAATGATATTGTTGGTTGCAACTAAAACTGGTCTGCTCCAAAAATGCAAAAAGTGTGATAAAAGTGCACGTCTACGTCAAATCGTTTTGTTGTCTTCGGTGCACTTATTTCTTACTTAATAAGGAATAAGTGCACCGAAGACAGCCAAACGATTTGACGTAAACGTGCACTTTTATCACACTTTTTAATAAGTGAAAACGCGCTTATTTGTCTAGTTTAGTGGGAAATGCGTAATACATTTGCTGCAATGTTGTTGCCTTGGTGTTTGGATTCATCTTAAGTTACATCAGGTGATGGTGATAGCACCGACAAACCGACATAAATGACCAATCAGAATCGCATTCTCATTTCGCATGCACACTGCGTCGACAAGTACAAGGTTCAATCAGCATAGCAGTGAGCAAACAGTATATTGCTCTTGATCAATCCAATCTTGATCAGTGGTGTTGAGTACTTGGCACTAATGAAGTCTGCAAGTAGCAGACGACATACGCGTGCCTATCAAAGATATGCAATTATAACGGAATTAAAAGGAAATAAACCAACACACTCAAAGTTCTTCAAAAAAGTATATTGCTGTTTTTGTCCTTGCACTTGGCTTGTACTCCAGCAGTGCTGCCAGCCATTGTGTCAAAACATACTGCCATCAACTGCTCCCAAGAAATCTGCATCGCTGTCAGGACCTCAGAAATGGTATTGAAGATGGTCGTCGCGTCTGTTTTCAACACCCGTCTCACACCCACGAATGTTTCCGTCGGTCGATCATTATCAATATACCTGATGACAATCGCCAACTGCTCGTGGTGGCCACAATCGCTCGTCTCATCTGCAATGATTGCCACTGGTTTTCCTCGCAAGGTTTTCGCAATGTTCCGCAACATTACATTGTGCAACGACGTAATCATGTCATTTTGAATACGGTTACTTGTGTACTGAAAATTTTTGGCACCTTCCTGTAGGGCTCCATACCAAATAAACACACCTTATATATTAACAACCTTGCCTTTAAATATAACATACCTGATGATTGAGAGAACCTTGGTTAAAAAAGAGCGGGAAGATGACAGCTGGAGAGTTTTGGAAGAAAAACGGTAAAAAAGGGTAGAGAAAGGAGGACTCGGATGGAACAGGACGCGCATTCGATAGTCGGAGCTAATTAATCCCAATAGAACTCAATACCGGTACCGGACGGAACCTAGGACGGAACTGAAGGAACATCCTTAAGGAAGTGTGCGGATCTAGGCAGAGCCTCTACACCTGGCAACGAGGATCAATGGTGAGTAAAACAAATTTTCGAAAATAAAAAGAAAAAGAAGCGCGTGCCAGGCACACTTTTTTTTTAAATGCTTGCGTAAGCCGAGCGCTTGTTCTGAAAAAAAAAATACTTGATTTTTTTTTCGTATAGGCGTGTGTGATAGAGATTGGCAAGACGAGCGGACGGCAAAGTTGTGCACTGACAGTGTTGTTTTTTTTTTAATGTTGCTGTATGGAGATGCAGATTTCTGGATGCCGTTTTCAACTGCGGTTGTTGTTATTAGCTAGAGGTGTTCTTGGAATGATTGAAATCTAAAAGTGATGTTCCGAAAGCAAACGGTGAAAAAAAAAGAGATTCTAGTGCGTTAGGGCCTAGAATGAAAACCGTGGCTAGGGGGCCCGGTATGAAGTAAAGTTCTAGTGCGAGAGGGCCTAGAAAGATGAACTGTGGCTAGGGGGCCCAGTGTTAAGTTGAAAAGATTCTAGTGCGTAAGGGCCTAGAATGACGGCCGTGGCTAGGGGGCTCGGTATTAAGGAAAGTTTCTAGTGTGAGAGGGCATAGAAAGATGGACCGTTGTTGGGGACCCGGTGTTAAGTTGACATGATTCTAGCATAGAGGTAACTCTAAGACCACTGGGTCCCGAAGAAAATCATTATTATTTTTGGCTCACTCAGTACCAGAACAACGGTCCCAAGCAGTCCCAAGCTATTTCACTCACCCCTGCATGTTCTGCATGATTCCACACACCCCTGATGTTATCTGTCAAACTTTCATAGCGAATCAAAACAAACATAGTGTAGTAATAGAATTTCAACTAGAATAGGGTACGTTAACCGTTTGCTTGGGACCAATAGGCTACTAAAGTGGTGAGCCAATTTAAAATCGTTAGTTTCGTATTGATTGTTGATTCTAGTGCGTTAAGGCCTAAAATGAGGGGGCCCTGTACGAAGGCAATATTTTATATGAGTGAGCTTAATCTGAAATTGAGATGTTTTTTTAAGGGTGGAAGCCTGGTGTAGTTGGTAATTTTCGTCTACTCACTACGCTCAAGGTCAAAAGATTCAATTCTTTCACCCAACAAGTAACATGCTTTAAAAAAAAAAAAAATAAATAAATAAGCATATAAAAGAAACGCATATGAATTATATGTTGCTTGTGGTTTCAGATGGATGAAAGCCGCCCGATTCCAATGTTCCGTTGCGAACAGATCGAAAGCGGAAAGCTAGCCAAGGAGTGGCAAGAATGGAAAGGATCGTTAGAATACTACTTCGAGTCATATCAAATCAGCGAGCTAAGATGTTGCATTTTGGCGGACCGCAACTCCAGAAAGTATTTAAAAGTCTGGAGCGTATCGAAGATTTCCCATTGGTGATGCTACAGAAAACCTGGTATGATTTAGCAATCGACCGCCTGGATCAATATTTCAAGCCTCGTAAACAGGGCGTCCTTGAGAGACATAAGCTACGGAGTATGCCGCAATCTCCGAACGAGCGCTTCGCTCATTACGTTCTTCGGCTACGTCAACAACTGATGGAGTGTGGACTTGAAAAATATTCCCTGGAGATCAGAAGCAGCATTGAGGAGATGATGCTTGTTGACGTCATTGTTGAAGGATGTACATCGCAAGAACTACGACGCAAAATTCTCGAAAAAGATCAATCACTTCCTGATATTGAAGCTCTGGGAGTGTCCCTTGAGAGCGTCCGTATTCAAGAGAAGGAAATGAACGTTGTCGAAGCTAGGGATCGCAGCCAAGTAGAGGTTTGCAAGGTTTTGAAAACGGAAAGGACAAGATCCGAACGGAAGCAGGATCGAGTCGTCAGTGGTTTCTTCTCCAAGCCGAATAGAATCGGCAATACCGAGATGAGAGTACTGTGCTACCCGTGCGGCTTTCACGGACACACGTCGAAAGCTCCGTTATGCCCTGCCAAGGGTAGAGCTTGTCGCAGATGCCAAGGTATTGGACATTTTGAAAAAGTTTGCCGAAAGCGCCCGGGTACTCATCAGACTTCAACACCAGCTAAGAAAGTACAGGCGGTTCAGAATATCGATGAAACTGAACACGACCGTAGGTCTGATACGGATGATCAAGCAAACAAGGTTTATTACACTTTCCACACTGGCAACCAATCGAATGTGTTTGAATGCGGCATTGGAGGAGTTATAGTGGAGGTATTCGTTGATTCAGGATCAGACGTGAATCTGATCACCACGGAAACCTGGGATGAACTGAAACGGAAGCAAGTACGGATTAACAGATGCGAAAATGGAAGCAAGAAGATCCTCAAAGCGTATGGGAGTGATAAACCTTTGGAAATCCTTGGTACGTTTGAAGCGATCGTGAAGGTTGGTGTACGCTCGGTCAATGCGGAATTCTTTGTTACAAAGAACGGTCAGCGGAACTTGCTAGGAGATGATACATCTAAGCAACTCGGGATTTTGAAAGTTGGTGTGGAAGTCGACCATATTGCCGACGACGGAATAGTCGGAATGGGACCTTTCTCGAAGATCTCGGGCATTCAGGTTCACATTCAGATGAACTCAGAAATGGAGCCGATTTTTCAACCTTTGCGAAGAATTCCCATTCCTCTGGAAAATGCCGTTAACGAGAAATTGGATGAATTACTGGCAAGGGATATTATTGAGGTCAATAAAGGACCGGCTTCGTGGGTCTCTCCCTTGGTAGTCGCTAACAAAGCGAATGGAGCAATCCGGTTTTGTGTGGACTTGAGACGTGTCAACCAAGCGTTAATTCATCACTCATCGCGGTCTGTACAGA